AAGGTTGAAAGGAAACTTGAATAACTAGATGTCAAAGACCCTATATTGTTGCCAAACAGCAGGTTAGTATAGGATTTTAACGGTACGCCATACCTTTTTGTAACTATTCACGTCATTTTTAGATGTTTTGTTCAAGTTTTTTGTAGCTATAACACAATATTTTTTATTGATATCAAAATTAAAGAAATTTTCCCCACGGTTTAAAATTGCACCAAAATTTATGCTTATCCTTCGATACTGTGCATGTATTCAAATCAGCTGATGTGATGTTCTTTCCTGCAAATCCCGTGATTTATTTTGTTTTACCCAGGTAAGCATACTGTATTTGTTCTATTAGAATTGCAGGTGTTAATATGAACCCCCTAAATGTGATCGGAATAAGCATCTCTGTTGTCCATATATCATGGGGATGCAATTCTAATAGTGCTAATACTATTATTTATTAGTTCATAGCTTTCACAGTGTGGTAAATAATTTGTTTCTGACCTTATTAACTCTTATTAAAATGTACAGTATTTGTTCTGTTGGTAGTGCTTACATAATTGTTTCGAAAACAGTTTTTGTTTACTTGTGCTGCGATTGGAGAAACGCTTCTAATAGAGCAAATATATATATTCAGACAAAATCGAAAAATTTCTGTGAAATTAGGAAAGCTAAATGTTACAACACAATCTACAGTGCATACAAATATCTGAGAACTTAAATTTCTGTAAAACTATCTAAATAGTATAGGTCAAAGGTCAATTTAGCACACTGCTGGTGTCCAAGCATGAAACCAGGTTTGTATAGTTGTTAATGCAATATGTTGTTCGTCCAAACTTCTTTTCTTTTCTGTCTCCTCCACTTCTTTAATTTCTGTGTGTCGTCTTCTATTTTTACACTTTCTATTTTATTCAATGCTTGACCTATAAACGTGTAGGAAAAGAATCAAGAAATAAGGAAAATGGGACTGAGGGTTGTAGATAAGGTATGGTTGCACATGTGTGAATTGAAGTGTTTAGTTTATTCAGTATGATGCAACGCTTCACCAGTTGCGTAACCTTTGAGTGTCATGTGACCTTTCATGTCTTATATAACCTTCATTCATTGTCATGTGACCTTTTACCTGTTGTGTAACCTTTGAGTGTCATGTGACATTTCACCTGTTGTATAACCTTCATTCATTGTCATGTGACTTTTTACCTGTTTAACCTGTATTCAGTGTCATGTGACCTATATTCAGTGTCATGTGACCTATATTCTGTGTCATGTGACCTATATTCCGTGTCATGTGACATTTACCTTTTATGTAACCTTTATTCAGTGTCATGTGACCTTTTACCTGTGGAACCTTTATTGAGTGTCATGTGACCTTTACTGAGTCATGTGACCTTTCACATGTTATATAACCTTCATTGAGTGTCATGTGACCTTTCACCCTAATCAATATCCATTTTTATTTTTTCCGTCACTGTTCACACCTCACCCATTCACAGGAATGATGTGATATTGTTTACCTGTCTCTAACCTTTGTGTTATTGTGCTTTTGAAAATTTTGCAGAATGCAGTGACGTATAAACATGAATGATGAATGGAGCAGTTTTTTCTGTCTATCAATATGGTTTAGAAATATCATGTCATTGTGCAATTTTTTCTTTCACTATTACCTGATATCAACAATTAATGAATAATCTTTCTTTTTTATATTCCAATTATTAACACTTCCACACATTAACTAATCGCATGTTACGTCCATGTTCCCCTATTGCATCATGGGATAGCTGTCGTTTTTTGCAGAATACTTTATTTCTACTTGGAATTTATTTTTACTATTTCTGCTGAAATGATTCTGTGAAAATAAAATCCAGCGAATATACCATTTTTGTATATTTTACATTCTATTCATCAAAAATAGGTGAAAATAAACTCCCTATGAAACAGCCAGAAAGTCTGCTCAGCTGCATAGTTTGGTCACTTGATATCCAGTCAGTGACCACACTACACTATACTTTGACCATAAGATGGTCAGTATGACCACACCAACCACACTTAGGCCACTTGATATCCCGTGACTACACATTTTGCAAGCCGGTGACCAATACCAGACCTTCATTTATAGATCTGTGTTTATTTAATATTTTCTTAAAATGTTGTGCATAATTTTTTTTAATTTTAATGTCATTAAAAATTAATTTTTCTTGCATTTTTTCAACAATTCTGACAAAACATGAATATTTAGACCATTACAAATATATGCATGTCTGGCTGACAAAGACAGTTTTATAACCACATGAAATGATGATACACTGATGCTGACACCTGGAAGACTCAAGTTGTCTCTTCACTAAGGTGTTCTTTCACTTTGAATGTTCATTAAATCTCTGTTTATGTTTCATTTCACAGGGAGATTCAACTCATAAACTCAACTTTGCTTCCATTAGACTTCGACAAAAATACACTTTCCTCCAAGACCCTGCTCTAAGTAAGTTTCCTTATGAAATCTGTTACCTGACACAGTGACTGTGTATTTGTGTATGTATATACCTTATTTGTTTTATTTAGTGCATGACCCTAATGTAAGTTGTGAAAATTGCAAAATTTTGCAGCAGTGAAATTTTCTCTGTATTCCTGTGTCAGTGGCTTTGGTGAAATGTTTTCACCAGTGACATAACATTCTGAAATTGTGAATATGAATATGTGTTGATAGTAAACAGTCCAGCATACAATGTGATTTCAAATAGAGCAAATAGCGTAAGTCAAAGTCATGGTAATTCTGGTGAGCAAAGCTTAGTTATCCGAAATATCTAAAGTCCCACAGCATCACTCTAAAGGACACTCAGTCAGTCAGTTAGTTAGTAATAAATCATCTAAAAAACTGTAATAAAGATAAATAAAAGTCAACAAGTAGTTAACAGCAATCATCAGTAACGTTTAGGTTAGGAGATGAAACAGGAGGCTATTGGCTATCTGAAGTCAGTATTTTATTAGTAGTGCTGTCAAAACTGCACCTACTAGCAGAAACAGCGAAAGCTAAGATTGTGCAGTGGATGCTACCTATCAAGGTAGAATGTTGAGAGCATTTCATACCCTTTTAACTCACTATCACCAAATTATAAAAATGCAGCTGTTTTCTTCAACACTGAAAACTTACTTGTCTATGTATATATTTTCTCTCTTTAGGTCCAACTAGTGCACATGAACGAGCTGAAATCCGTTTATGGCATCTTGCAGCAAAACTTGGCAAAGACTGGCCAAAATTAGGTCGCGAACTTGGCCTAAATAACAGGGAGATTGAAATCATAAAAAGTGAAAATGAGGAAAATGTGGTAGAGCAAGCATTCGTTGCTTTACATGTCTGGGCAGAAAGAGCAGGGAAAGAAGCATCAGGTCAGTCCTATTTCAAACACTTTACCATCCAAATCTATTTCTAGTTTTTCTCTGTGTCAGTGTGATACTGAATTATTGATCAAGAACTGAATACTGAGCTACAAAGATTGAAGCCCAATGTGATCAAAACAATTTCTGATTTTTCTAGAAATTGGCACAATTTGAAAAAAATTTTGTGGAGAAAAACAAAAGCATTTTAAAAGCTGATCATAGAAGAAGCCCATCATTTATTTTATCTGATAGTTACATGCTGATAGTGGTGATGATGGTTGCAAGCAACAAAAAAGCCTGTGTGTGCACATAATAGAGGTGTACTTCTAATGAATGTGTACTTTTTTATTGCGAAATGTCTAACTTTTGTAGGTGAAAGACTTGAAGATGCACTTGAAAAATCTGGTAAACACCAACTTGCAAGAGAAATCCTTCATACATCGTACACCATTGATATGGAAGATGAACATTCCATCGACTATTATAGAGACTTAGAAAAATCAATGGCAAAATCACGAATGGATGAATCAGGTAATCCGCTATCCCATAATATGAGAGGTTATCACGAGAATACCGCAAAGTATGCATGAAGGCGGTTGATGCAATCCCATACTGCCTAAGTGTAAACTTTGCGGTATTCTTGTGGTAACCTTATTATTTATACACCCACTTCCTGATTATAGTAATAATTTGAGAGATTATAGGCTCAAAATGACAATAAAAAAGGTTTTGGATTGTGTAAACATGCATTTGTATTTCCATCGCGTAATTCTTGTGTTTGAGTGTAATGTCAATCTGGAATGCATCAATGTTGGTCACGTAGTTTACCCCATAAAGTGTTAGCGATGAATAAAATGAGTATGCACGTCAAATTTCTTTATTTTTTGGTGCTAGAAGTATAATAATACCTTATTACTGCCACTGTTTTACTACTCTAACCTTTTAGAATTTTTTTTTCAAGCTTGTCCTAGAATTTGTTCTTGTGTGCTTTATCAAATACATTGATAAGAAAATGTTCTGTATGTCAGCATATTAGAGTTATGATAATACTTGTAATAAATTTTGTAAAACTTCTGACAATGGAAGCCCACTGTAAAATGATATAAAAAGATAGTTAAAATTTACAGTTTATAGATAAAAAAAACTAATTACAAATTTACAAAGTAGATTAGTATAATAATATATGTGTATCATATTGACAGCTTTTGATGATATAATGGAATTAAAATCACCAGCTAAGCCACCAAGGGCAAGTCAAGACCATGAAGACTTACTGGAAGGGGTGAGTAAATATTGATGTCAGATATCAGTAAGTATGGTGTAGTTGAAGTGTGTGACGAATGGCTTGTAAATACAGTGCAGGGTATCTATGTGTAGTGTATTGTCTATATGCTGTGTAAACGTTGTTGTAGTGCGTCAACTGCTCTGTAAACGTTGTCGTGCGTCAACTGCTCTGTAAACGTTGTCGTGCGTCAACTGCTCTGTAGCTGTCTCTGTCTGTAGTTTCTTTCGGTAGTCTTGCCAGTACTGTAGTTTCTTTTGTGTTCTCTTGTAGTGTCTCTGTAATGATAGAATCTGTTTGATTCTCTGCTGCCCAAAAGCACTTTGTACTAACATGAGAACGTCATATTCTCAAAATTTAACCAGTTTGTCTTTATCCTGTCATGTCATCATCTCCCACTACTATCACTACCACCACCATCATCTTCTGTATCCTATCCATTCCATCTCTCCATTTCTTCCACACCACCAACTAAATACTACATAGGAGCCAACCATGAATTTGATGGAACATCTGGATACAAGTGAAATTGAAGACCAATCGGATATCATGGAACGCGTCTCAATTGCCAAAGAGGTAATAATTTCCAGTTTTCTGGCAATTTATTCCATGGATATCTATTAATGTGTGAATTCTCACCAACCAAATTATAATTACGAAAGCTTTTTTTTTTTTCATTTTCACTATCATTTTGCATGCTGCTTCTGTTTCAGATGGAATTTTTACCCTCTTTTTTTTTTACTAGAGTTTTAATTTACAGCTGTTTTATATTTGAATCTTTCAGAAAATTCTTTTCTTAATTTCTTTTAGTTTATTTCCCACAGGCATGGCAGTTTACAATAAAAAAGTTGCAAATTTTTTCAATTTTCAATGCAGTATACTTACCATTCACTAACCTTATTTGCATAATCAATGCAGTTCCCTTTCCTTTGAGCAGCACTTTGACTTTTAAAAGGACTCATTAACATATCTCCCGAATTTACCTTCCTCATTGCCTGCTTGCGTAGGAACATGTTGATCTGAAAGAAGAACGTGTTGAAGAAAGCCATGTAGAGGTACTTTGATGTAGTTTGGTTTCCAATGCTCACACGGCCAGCTGTTCTTTGTGGGTTTTTTTTGTTGAACTTTTGTAAATTTTTATGGAGTGTCTTGATTTTTTTCTAAATAATAACTGAGTAATTTGTCATATTTTGTTCTAAATATGACCAATATTGAAAAATTAGAACAAATTTGCATGAAATATAAAAAATGCTGTTTCAAAGATCAGCCGGAAGTGACTAAATTAACCCAATGACTATTGTAACATGTACCGGTAATTATAATGCAGATATAGATTATAGATTAATTTTGCCATAAATGCATTATGATTCCCTACTAATCAAATAAACAAAGTAAATTGTTTTGTAGTTGTTTTATAATAGTCATTGTGTTAAATGCATTTTAAATAACTGTTTGCTATCACTAATATTATAATTGCACATAAACTAATATTTCTGCTAGAAGTATGATTCCCAGTCACTGTTAGTAAGTAAAGTATAAGTCAGTCTGTATCATCGTTAATATGTGGTAACTATGTACACAGTTATATGTTGTAGACCGTATTTTGCACTGCTCAATAGCTTAATGAATTGCTTATCACAACTTTGTTCACCTATTTTATTGTCTACAATGAGAAAATTGTTTTCTAAAGTAGAATAGCGTGCCAAAGCAAAGATGATTATCACAGCAGAATGCATAGAAAAAAGAGATGAGTAGCAATAAATGTGAAAAAGCTGCTAGAATCACAACAATTGTGGAATTTGTTGGCTCAGACTTTAACTCAAGCAACATTCTGATGGCAATACAGTGCAATTTTGGTTTGAAGTTCTTTTCAAACTTATCTGATTTGTTTGTTGGCTAAAACCTCAACACAAGCAACATTCTGATGGAATTACCATGCTATTACATTGTTTTGAAGTTTTTTCAAACTTTGCTGTTTGATTTGTTGTAATCTGCAGATTCATAAAGAAGTCATGACAAAAGAAGTAATTCAGGTAAATCTTCAGTAAACCCTTTTGTTCTTTTAGATGAAATAACTAATTTCAACTTTAAACCCATAAACACATGCTGTGTAATTTGTTTCATTGCATATATATGCTATCCAAACAACGTCATTTCAAGATATCTCCATTTAAATGATCTTTTAAAGATGTTGTCACAGCTTTGTTTGTCTTCTGTTTATTATCGTCGGTCTATGGCTTGTACAACTGCAGTGATAAATATTAGTTTTACATCCAACAGGCCAAGATAAGTTTCCTTTATTAATCCTAATCATTCTTTTATATCTCTCTTGAATATCTTTTCTCTGTGCCCCGTCGTCAGGTTGTTGAAACAGAAATAATAACACAAGAAGAAATAATAGAAAGCCAACAAAAGGAGGTATTAAGTCTGCATTTTACGCATGTTGGATTAAACACTGCCCTCTGCCATGCAAACACTGCCCTCTGCCATGCAAACACTGCCCTCTGCCATGAAAACACTGCCCTCTGCCATGCAATTGCTGCACTCTGTATTGAAAAACGCTACCCTGTGTTGAAAACACTGCCCTCTAGTTTATGAATACCATTTTATGCACAACCTTTTCTGTAGCTTATCAATTGTTCTTGTGTGGTGAATGAAGTTTGCCCTGAAAGTGCTGTAATCTTGATGCAGTATAAACCAGTTTTTGCTGCTGTATGTATAAAAGCCGAAAAGTGCATAATTATCTGTGAGCAAGTTGATTTTTTCTGCCATGAAGTTGGTTTTTCAAGTTAGCTTTATTTTTCTGAATTGCTGTTTTTAACATTCTAACAAGACCAGCATTTATTCTGATATTGACATTCAACAAGAACCAGTAGTTAATCTTATTTTACTATAATGTCTTTAATTATGAATACCTTGTGTCATATTTCTGTTTGATTATCAGGAAACTTTTCCTATTGAAGATGAACCAGAGGTACGAAACAATATTTTTGAATCTGAATTCAAGTTGTCATCTTGAATAAAAATTTAGATTGAGATAAAGCCAGTGTGGTATATTTAAGCAATAACCCCCGCCGAAGGCGGGTATACCACGAGATATTGCACAATTCACGACATATATGCACGAGCCGCAGGCGAGTGCATATATGGAGTGAATTGTGCAATATCAAGTGGTATACCCACTTTGGCGGGGGTTATTG